CCAGCAGAGCCTGTCATATCCAGACCTCATCTGGTATATGCTTGGGGTTTTTTTTTTTCTTTCTTCTTCAATGCTTGTAGGATTTTCAATCCTTTTAATTATAATTTCACTTCAAAGGAAAGCTGCAACTTGCAGAGTGAAAGATCAGAGCCTCAAGTAGAGCTATGTTTTCCATAACAGCCCCCAAAAGGACCCTGAAAACATGTGGGAAAGGGCAGGTGGAGGTGATGCCACGCCCACCCTCCTCACCGCTGGATATCCTGCTCGAGCACCCTGACCCTTCCGGTGTGGCCAGAGTAGGAGTTTCTCCATGGGATGTGATCCTAGGCTGGATCAGCATGGTCCTACCCTGGCACACAACCCCAGCACCCCAAAACCCGTGCCTGAAATCACACCATTTACCAAGCATCTCTTTGTGTTAAGCATTACCCATTACATGCTCTCTGTTTTCAAGGTGAAAATGGTACCAGGCTGAACAATGCCTTTTGCCACTGCCACTTAAGCACTGTAAGTATAAATTAAGTCCACAGTTTGGTTTTCATAGGCTAGAAAAACACCAGCTATGCGGCACCTGAGTGAGGGGAGGAGATTCTTAATGGCCAAGAGTATATATTTAGTTATCACTAGGGATGGAAAGAAACCCAAGCTGTTTAAAACAGCTATGGTGGGTGGTCTTACATATGAGACATCATCATCCACATGGTGTTGCACACGAAGCACCAACATCCCTCCCAGTTAAGCTGCCTCATCCAATGCGTCTCAGGCGTCAACAGGTGTTGGTGTGCCCAGGCAAGCATGATTAAGGAGGTACTCTGGATGCAAGCTGGAGGCTTTTCATTTAAACAGCCTTGAATATGGTCCATGAATGTGCAGATCTCACAAGCTCCCAAGTGATTCTGATGGTCTTGGTCTGCCGACCCCAGTTTGAGCAGCACCGGTCATGGCCAGTCATGGTAGCCTCACTGAGGTCAGCTCAGTCGTTTAAATGGTGAGCATGCCTGAGCCCACTCGGATCAAGGAAACACTAGAGACATGCTGGGGCATCTGGGAAGGCAAGCCTGTTCCCGGTCACCACAGAAGCAGTTTCACAGCCATTAGACACAGGACTCTTAAGGACAGAATTGAGTCCATGGACCACTGCAATATGCCCAGCTCAGTGACATGACAGATCTTTCCATCCAATCTCGAAACCTCAAAGCTTGCTCTGAAATCCTTTCAGATGAAGCAGTAACTTTTCTTATGTTTAAGCAATGGTAGGTGGAATTTCTTGTTGCTTTTAGTTCTAGGATCCTGACAAACACTACTGCTACATCCAGATGAAGAAACAGGAGCGTGCTCTTCAGTCTGGTTGTTAGCCTAGGTCTGTTTGATGCCATTTTCCTTTCTAGTTTGTCACACAGCCTGGGTGACTTTCTCTCCTCGGCCTTTTGGCTAAGATACAGTGTAGTTTCTCTGCCAATGCTGTGACACAGTCCTTGTCTACTGTGGCTCTAGCATTTGGACCCAGGCCCCCATAATCTCCTATCTGCAAGAAGTTATGCGTTGCATTCACCCAACCATTCATTCATCCACCTGTCCATCCATCCATTCATCCTTCCTTCCCCGCCTCCAGCGTTGTCCCAGTGCCTGTTGCACATCTGACTCTGTGCTCAATGGTGAGAATCCGCTGAAAACCAGGATATGATCCTTAGCCAGTAAGGAGCTCAAACCAACAGGAGGAGAGCACCGCCCCCACCCCCCGCCAGACTCAATACCTTTTGCCACGTTGCCAAAACTTGGGCATCAGCCCAGTGATGCCCAGATGTCCAGTGCTGGTGAGTTCTTTTTCTTTCTTTCTTTTTTTTTTTTTTTTTGCAGCTCAGATAGATTTATACTCCTTTGAAATGCTGTTTTTTTTTTTTCCTTTTGATACATCAGTAAAGCAATTCCAGATCCTCTGTAATGGGCATTGAACAAATATTCAGTCATCACATTTCTCTGTTTATAGAGTATCAAAGTGCATAGCACATTATAAAACTTGTAATTAATTCTCATAACGCTCTTGGTGTCATGAGCGAAGGGCACGTAATAATAACCCTCTTTTACTGATGGAAACAAGGACCACTGCAGATCTAGCCTCTGGTCACCTGCACTTCACACCTTCATTAGCAGCACAGCTTATTAATTATGACAGTTACACATTAACAACTAGCACTTGTTGAGAGCCTCCCTCCCCCCGCGGTACCTGGTTGCCAAAGCTTCACGCGCGTTCCCTAGCTCACTGGATCTCCATCAGCACGGTACGATTTTGGCCCTCTGATTATCCCCACACAACAGTACAGAGCTCAAGTAGTATCCCATGGATTGAAGACCCTGGCCAGTAAGCTCAGGTCTGTGTAGCTCCTCCTGCCCTCGTACCTTGCCCTCGGACGTACTGTCCTTGCCGGGTAGCACACCAGGAAGTAAGGGACTGCATGTGCGTGTCTGGAGTCTCCCGCTGCTTTTCTGTGTGGCCTTGGGAACATCCTCCGGCTTCCCTGGGCCTCGGAGAGTTCATCTCTGGGTGAAACAAAGTGCAGACTGTGGAGCCAAAGTGCAGCTTGGGTTGGAGCCCCAGTCCTATCCCTCACTCAACATGTGTGTAACTCTGGAAATTAGCCTCTCTGTGTATTTATTCTTTAATCTGCAAAATGGAGATAACTGTGTAGCTCCAGGACTCAGTGAGGACTTAGAAGTCACATCCCTTATCCCCGACTGACCCTCCACCGTGCTGTGTCAGATAGTTCTACGTGCTCCATCAGCCCGCAGCACGGCTCTGTCACTCTGCTTCGCTGTCTCCTTCCTCACCCCCAGCCCCGCCAGGGGACTCTGGAAGCTTCCAGGCTTGGGGGCAGGAGGTTCAGAGTTCCTAACTCTTGGCTGGGACCGTGGTGGAGTTGAGGGGAGGGGTGCAGATTCAGAAAGTCGGTTCTGGATGACAGAGTATACGGCATGTCCTGGACACTGGCTGACTCATCCACAGGCCTAAGGAAGCAATCATCTGAAGACATTGTTCAGGCCTGGATGAGGTCAGACAGGTGGAGAACTCTAGAGGGCATTTTCACGCAGCCCCAAAACCATGATGAATCTAGTAAGTGTAGCAATCAGGGCCACGGAGACAAGGGTCCTCACTGCCCCCTCCCCAGAAACATGTCTGAAGTGGTTTTAAAGAAATGTTTGCAGGTGGGGGCAGCATTGGGGCACAGTGGGTTAAGCCTCTGTTTGCAATGGCAGTATCACAGATGAGTGTCAGTTCGACTCCGGGTCACCTCTCTTCCCATCCAGCTCCCTGCTAGTGGCCTGGAAAAGCAACAGAAGGCAGCCTTAGTGCCTTGGCCTCTGCACACACGTGGGCGGCCTGAATGAAGTTTCAGACTCCTGGCTTCAGCTTGGCTATTGTGGCGATTTGGGAGGGTAAACTTGGCAGCATCGAAGGCATCATGCTTTTCTTTCACCTCTTCAGAGACCTCTGCTGCTTAATTCAGGTTGCTACCATGCTTTTGTTTGTTTATTTTTTAAACAATTATTTTTAAAGGCAATAAGAGAGTATCATCATGTTCTGGTTTGTTCCACAAAAGTGTGCAAGAGCTGGTGGGCCTGGGCCAGGCTGAGGCTAGGAGCCGGCAACTGCATGGTCTCCCAGGCAAAGAGTTGAGCCGTCACCTGTTGCTTGCCTCCCACAGTGCATAGAGGGGCAGAGCTGGGACTCAGATCCAGATACTCCAGTAAGAGATGTGGGCATCCCACGCAGCAACCACTGTACCGAAAACCTGGTCCCACCCCCGCCCCATTTTAAAATTGTCTCCAGGTGGGCTAAGCGCTCTGCATCCTCGCCTGGTCCGGCTCACGCGCCCCTGGATCTGTGTTTGCTAACGAGGAGAAGGGAGGCGTTTTGCTTCTCAAACAAGCCTGAACCCCAGTGCATCTCTCTGGGTACTTGGTACTCGGAGGCGGTGGCCACTGCGCTTTTCTCATCTAGCGTTGTTATTGATTTGGTCAGAAGTAATTAAGGAGATAATTCTTACTCAATTACATTTCCCTGCATTTCCTGAGGTTGCTAACTCTGCTCCCAGCTGTATTTTCTTTTCCAAATTAATTTTGTCTCGACTCTGAAATGAGGATGGATATGACGGGGGGCGGGGGTTGTGTTTGTTGATTTTCCTGGGAACAAAGGGGGGGGCTCTGTATTTTAATTCCGAATAGGGCTCTCAAACTCATTTAAATTTCAGAAGATTAATTAGAAGCATACATGAGTTAAAAGTAGCTCTGCTATCAGGGTGAGTCTTTTGAAGAACGGGAGCCCCTCTCCCCAGTTCCTTCTCAGCTGTGATGCAGGCACCCTCCTGCCCAGGGCAGCCACTCCCAGCACTCTGCCAGGGCTTCCCACAATCCGTCTCTCCAGACTCTTTGGCTTGCATTTCTCGGTTGCTGCACTTCAGACTTGAATGAGACCCACTGCTATGAAAGAGGAGGACCTAGCTCCCGCACGTGTCTGTTGAGTTGGTGACTACTGGTTTCTGCGGCTGTAAGCGTTCTGCTGCCTGTGCGTGGCTTGCCCGGTTCTCCCAAGAGATGATCTTTGACTCCTGACTTCCTGCACGAAGAGCTGAGTCCCTCAGAGGTGTCAGGATGGAAAGCATTCGCATCTGTTCTCGCACCCCGAATTCAGTGTTTCCGGTTTCGTCTCTGAGTTGAGTCGAACAAGTTGAAAATTAACAAACGCCCCAGTTTCATTCCCGGGCATCTATTCACTCAGTGGACATCTGCCAACCAAGCGCTCTTTGTCTGGCATTGTGACCAAGACCAAAGACTCAGAGTGACAAGGTCACGTTCCCTGTGCATCCTGCACAGTTAGAATCCAGAGGAGGAGGAACAGAACGCGTGCCACTTGCAACGTGAGAGGAATAATTGCCCACATAAGTAGAGCTTTGAACGTTGCGCTTAAAATACGAATGCACGCAGCACTGTTTACAGCAGCCAAGATGCGGAAACAGCCTCAGTGTCTCTACGACCTGATGCATGGAGAGACCAAATGCAGTACGAGGGAGCAAGTGTACACGAGCGAGGGTCATCCGGCCGCTGAAGAGAGGGGGAGCCCTTGTGAGTTACAGTGGCAAATGGTTGGAACTGGAACCATCGTGTTAGCTGAAACGCGTCAAGCACAAAAAGACAAATGCCACCCGATGTCGCTCATTTATGAAATCTAACAAGATTGACTCGAAGAAGCTGGGAGCGTGCTGGTGGGAGGTTGAGTGTTGGGCACAGCAGTTAAGGTCCAGATTGGAATGTCTGGGTCTCAGCTCCGCTTCTGATCCCAGCAAAAGCAACTGTCTGTCTGTCTCCTCTCTCCCCTCCTCTTTAAAAAAAATGCAAAATAGAAAATATTTACTACTTTTAAAATGGACACCTACTTTTTTGTTGTTGTTTAAATGGACGCTTAAGAGCGCTTGTTCCTTGTGATTCTTGTCCAGAGGAACAGCAAATGGCAGAGCTGGGGTTTGAACCCTTGTCTCTCAGATTGCAAAATCTGAGCTTTTTGCACCACCGTCTTCTGTGGCCTGTGGTGGTTGGTTGGCTGTGGGATGATCTCATTTATAACCAAGTCATGTCCAGACCAAATCACACCCTGAAACGGAGCAACGTTTTTTCCTCGCCCACAGTTGAGACTGATACGGTCAGAAAGGCTCCATTAATCCTGTGACTAAACCCCAAAGAGGAACCTGATGAGTTCAGGTAACCAAAAGCACTAACCGTTTCCTGTGGAGACTGGATTCCTCCGAGGCTGTACTTCAGTCATGTATTTGTATGCAACACATTAGCCCAAAATGTAGCTGCTAAAGAGGACAAACACTCCCCAACGCCCCAGTTTCTGTGAGTCAGGACTGCCAGGTGTGTTTTAGCACAGAGTCCACTGGCTGACGGTGTGTCCTAAGGCCATGGTCACTGGGGCTGCAGTTAGCGACAGGTGAAGGTCCACTTCCCAGCTCACTCACTGGCTGTCAGCAGGTGGCAGGTGCTTACCGCCTGTGATCTGGAGATGTCAGGCGCCTTGCTGGACAGGCCTGACTTAGAGGAAGGCACACAAGCTAGAATAGGATGCCCGTGTGCCGTGGCAGCCATGCACACTCTTGACAGTCATCGTCAGCTACAGCTCTGCAGGAGAGGGAGGACTTTCCTGTCCATTGTAGGATGATCACCAACATCCCTGGCATCTGCCCAAGTTATCACAACCAGAAACAGCCTCAGTGACCCCCTAGGAAGCGGCCTGGATGTCCAACAGAGGGCTCAGCTGCAATGTGAAAGAGGGCATTGCTCCAGCCAGTCTGCGGAAAGCCTAGGATGAATGAGTGGCAATCACCCAAGAGCCCCCCAGCCCTCGCCCCAACAAATAACCGAGAAGTGAAAGGAGAAGGCAGGTGTTTGGCATGGTGCTGGACAAGGTTCTGCTTGGAACACCCACGTTCCGTATTGGAGTGACTGGTTCTAGTCCCAGTTCCAGTTCCTCTCCCAATTCCAGCTTCCTGCTAATGCACTGCCTGGACAGCAGCAAGGGATGGCTCGGATGCCTGGGTCCCTGCCACCCGCGTGTGACACCTAGAAGGAGTTCCCAGCTCTTGCTGTGGGCCTGGGCCAGGTCCAGACACAGGAGACACCTGGGGAATGTGAACTAGCTCGTGGAAAAATTCTGCTTGTCCTTCTGCTTACCTTTACATACAAACTTTTTAAAGGAAAATGAGGGAAGACACAGGGTTTGGATTTTTTTTTTTTTTAAGTATAAACAGATGGTATCTTTCATCTGGTATCTGCTTCCTTTAAAAAAAAAAAGCGCTCCTCCGTGTTTTTGAGCACACAGAAACCAGGTAATGGGCCGCAATTCCACCGCTCTAACTTCTGTGATTCTCGGCTGTCCAATCTTCGGAAACCCGATGCAGAGATAATGGGGAGAATTACAGAAATGATCCTGGGCACCATCGCACCGCCAGCTCATTGATGGGACGAGGCCCAGAACCGTCACCCTTGTTTATTTTGGGGCAGTATTTTCATGTGTCCTTGACAATAATCTACGGCTGAAAATTCATGCAGGAAGACGCCTGCTGCATTCTTGGAACTCGGAACACAGCAAACCTCTCCACAGACAGTAAACTGGCGCAGGGTGTGCAGAGCCCCACTATCTTAGTCCCCCATCAGTGAGCTCTGCTTTTTCCACAGGCCCTAAACAGTATGTAAATGAAGGGGGAGTGATTCTGTGCCATCAGACTTCATCCACAAAAACAGGCATTTTTTTCTGTTCTTAGGCAGTCCCCCCACCCGCCGCCCCACGCCAGTCCGTGTCATTCTTGGGCCTTCCCATCATAGCATCTAGCCCTGTCTTCCTTTCTCCCTGTCCTCTTCTTTCTCTCTCTCTTCCCTCCCTCCCCATTCACATTCACATCTCTCTAGCCGTCTGTCATCCATCTCTAGCTGTTGTCTACTTATCTTTCTGTGTATCGCTGTACCACGTCGCCCTCCAACAACCCATCCCTCAGGTCAACCCCCATCCCTGTCTCTGAGCCTCAGTGCGTGAGTTGGTGATGACCCACCCATGCGCTGAGTTCCAGCTCCCAAGAGCAGCCCTTAGTGTCACCTTGCTGCAGCCTCCTGCACCCGAGTCTAACATTCTGCAGGATGTAGTGATTATACAGAGGAAATGCCAACAGAATTCCCATTTGTGTGTTTGCGTGGAAAGGGGATGCTTGGGGTTAAAGAAAATGCGTCTATGTGTACATGTGTGTGCATGTGTGTATGTGTTTGCTTCTGTGAAAGCTCCCTGAAAGAATACACACAAACTAGGCAAGATTTGTCATCTCCATGGAGGAAATAAACAGCTTGAGGACAAGACAGAGGTCACACGTACCCTTCGGCATGTTCCTAAACCGTTAGGAAGTAGTGCTCACTCAAAAAACAAAAACATCCATTAAATTCATTCCTTAAAAATTCATCAGTTTTCATTTGAAAGGCAGATTTTACAGAGAGAGAAGGAGAGACAAAGAGAAAGATCTTCCATCCACTGGTTCGCTCCCCAGATGACAACCGCACGGCCAGAGATGAGCTGCTCAGTGGCTCAGGCCATGCCCTGTTGCTTTCCCAGGCTGTAGGTAGACAGCTGGGAAGTGGAGCAGCCAGAACATGAACTGGTACCCATATGGTACCAGTCAGTGCCACAGGGCAGAGACCAGCCTGCTGCACCACAATGCTGGCCCCTGGTTTTTGATGTTGTCTTAACAAATGGAACTTCCTTTGACTTGCTGCTTTTATCAAAGTGACTCCTTGTGGTTTCTCAGCCTCAGGAGTCTCTTGTCTGGATTAGTAAACTTGGGAGAGCCTTCCCTGAGCTGCTCCCTGCTGTCACCCTCCACCTGCCAGCTGGTCTGTTCCTAGCTGCTTGCAGCTTCCTGCCGAGGAGAAAGACCTCTTTCCTTTGCACTGCGGCAAAGGCCAAAGCTGTAATAATGGATGGATCAACAAAGAGAGAAATGTCAGCAATCTCCCCCAGCCCATGCATCTTGTGACAAGGGAACATCCAGAAAGCGGGACCCAAGGCCCGAGTCTGGGTGGCTTCAGGAAAGTTACTCTATTCTTCTGGGTCTCAGGTCTCCCACTCATCAACGTGGGGATGATCACAATTCCCACGACACCCAGCTCATGGGCTGGTCATGAGGAGTCAAAGAGGAGAGGCAGGTGAATTTTTCCCGCTCAGGATGCCCCTGTGCTTCTGTTTCCCGTGCCCAGGTCCGAGGCAGGCATTGTTAATGAATCGGAGAAATCCTCCCTACCCCCGATGAGATTGGACCGTGGGAGCTCCAGGAAACTCTAGTGCCTCACTCGCAGATAGAATGAAGCTGACATTCAGACTGGAGCCCACTGGCCGTCACTAGCCCAGCACATTTCCAGGCACATGAGGAATGCTGGATGGTTAGGCACCAGAGTATCACTGTCGACTAGGTCACCAGAACAGAGTAGAGGGGTCGTTGCAACCCAGGGCCGGTTCACTGAAGCTCCTGCAGGTCTTTGAACGGCAGCCCCCAACCCCATCCCGCAGGCTGCCATTGGCTGCTGGTGCCTGACAGCTGAGCTGCTGGCCCTGTCAAAAGAGCTTATAAGATTAATGTATTTGATTCGTTTTCTTTAACTGGGTGGGTAGCACATGGGCTGCCTGCATGCCGGCGGTCCCAGGGCTGATAGGGACTCATTGATGCTGGCAGCCAATTTCCATTTCAATCAAACCGGAGAGGAGAGAGGCAGGAGGGGGGGAAAAGAGCCAGACAAGGAGAGAGACCCCTGGATTTGATTCGAAGCTATGGCATCTAGCGCCACCTACTGCTCTGTTGTAACATCACGGTCATTGCTAACTGCTGAACCAGGATGGCGTGGTTACTGATATCCGGAGGTGTCCGAAACCTCACTCAGGTTCATTCACAGTTCAGCCTCTTTTCATTCGTAGTTTGTAATTGCACTGTAAAGATCAAGCATACTTAATGATGTAGTGACAGTGACAATAACATGATACGCCATGAGAGCATGTGACAGCACATGCTGATGCAGAAACTGCTTGATTTTAAATCATTTGCTAGGTGCTGATGGATTGCATTTCGCAAAAAGTCATCACAGTGCACCCTTCCTCCAGCTTCGTCTCACAGTGACCATTTCCCCGTAATTTCTAAGTACCTCCTTTGATTAAAACACACACACACACGCACACTAACATGCAACACTTCATTTCAAAGCAGAATGATCCAGACAATATTCTGCTTATTATTTCTCTAGGCCGGGGTCTGAGAAAAGTGTTTTTTATATTAGAATATAGCTTGTTTGTTCAGCTATCTTTCTTCATGTTATCTGATATCAACCTCTGAATAATAAAGTTCAGGAGCATGTGGGTTCCTCTCTGTCCAGGCCAGGCAAATGAATAGAGCAAAGACAAAGCTCGTGAACAATTACCTGAATAACTCACTCATCTGTGTGGGCAGAAAGGGTGGGGGAGAGAGTACATCTACTTCTTGAGTCAGCTCTTCAAACCAACTGCCAAGGCCACCAACAATAATAATTATTTGTACAGTTTAATTTTCTGCTTTCTTTCCAAGGCAATGCTAATAATAGTTCCACTTATGATCAACCAGCTTGCTGCAAATCGGGGGTTCGGCCATTAACTTACTCCTCCAAACAGGGCAGGAATGATTCTCCTGTTGTGCTGAAGCCCACTGAGGTTGGGCGGTTAGCCCAAGATTGACGACAGCTGGTCATTGCAGAACCAGGACAGAGCCCGTGGCACCTTTCTGAAAAGCTCTTGTCACATCTGCCATGCCACACGAGGTCCTCCTGGCGTGGAGATGGACTCTGCTACCCAGGACCAACCCCTCAACACACACGCCCTAACTCAGAGGGTGTGGTCTGCCATAGACTGGTTCTGCCAGAACAGCTAAGTAAGCACCCTTCTCCCCCTCACTCTCATCTACCCAACAGGTCCCGGACAAGCCTATGAAGAGCATTAGGTACATGGACAAGGAAATAAGGAACCTCAAGAAAGACCTCCTGCGAAGCCGGTGAGTGGGCCATGTGGCAGAGGTGGGCAGGCTATGGGGGTAGGGAGGTCCCTGCACGTCCTCCCCCATGTCCTTATGCTCCCCATCCCTAAATCTGCAGCAGAAGGCTGGGAGGGCAGCTCCAAGGAGCAGAGCTAGGATGCCTTGCTGGGTTGGGCTTCTCAGGAAGTAAACTGGGCCTTCCTCCATGTTCCGGCTACGCCTTGGCCTGGGCTCCTGCCTGGAATTCCATCTGCTTCTCTGCCTGGACCTGAATTCCAACTCGAGAGCATTCCAAATTGTTCTGGAGAATCTTCTCTCTTCACCCCTGACTCTCAGGTGACACAGGGTCAGTCACAGTATGAAATACTGACACACTGCCTCCACCACCTGCCAGCTGGTGGCACAGGAGGGGTGAATCAACCTCCCGAGGAGACCATTTTCCCATCTGTAAAATGGAAATAATACAAGGCTGTTGGAAAAACTGGGTGAAATAATGCACACAGAGTACCCCTCCCCATGGCCCTGAACACAGGGCCCCTACCGCACTCCCCGCTCATGTCCTTCCCAACGGTGTGAGCCAGCTCAGAGCTGGGACAATGCTTGATGCCTCTGCATGCAACAAGATGGGCTTAGCTTCCCTCATCCCCTTTCCTCCTCTATGGGATCTGGAAATCTGGACAAATAGGGCTTTTGGCAAAGCAACTCATAGCAGGATGGAACTAGAAAAGCTTTCAGCATACAAAAGGGGAATGTAAGTGGCAGTAGTAGACTAGGGGACACATGTGTATCATGAACCTCTTCTACTCTGAGCCAAACCATGGTGAGAGGCGTGGCGTGTACCCCTACCTTCCTCCTCTGCCCTCCTCGGCAGCGCTAGCAACTCCACCCAGCCCTGCCTCAGTGGCACCATGTGACAGAACCAGTGCCAGAGCCCAGGAGGAGATTCTGAAAGCAGGAGGAAAGAGAGGAGCAGGACAGACTACTGGAGGAACTCCAGGAGGAGTCAAGAGAGGACCCAAGAAGGCCATATATCTCAGCACCACAAGAGGGGTGGCCACACTGTGCCAACTCTCAAAGGATCCCCACACAGGCCCTCTGCAGTGGAAACCCAATGCCAGCCACATGAGAGTGTGTCAGTGGAAATGGCAGTCATTCCACAAGGCATCCAAAATATTGCCATTCCACGTGTAAATCAATCAACTTGAGAAACAAGGTAATGAGGTGCTTGGCTTTCTGCCAGCCTCACATGATGTAATGTCATGACACGATGAAGCATCCAGGGCCACATTCCAGGTTCCTAGTAGTTGGGAGGCAGTGGATTGTGCGCGCACACATACATACATTTGGATGCAGGGCCATTGAAGGGATAATTAAGGTTAGATGAGATCTCATAAGGCAGTGTCCCTAATTTAATTTTGGCTATGTCCTTGGAAAAAAGAGGAGACACCAGGCCTGTGCAGGCACACCGCAGAGGGCCAACTGAAGGACACAGTAGGAAGGCAGCCACCTGCCATAAGAAGAGAGGCCTCAGGAGGAACTCTGCTCTGCCAGCCTTGATCTTGGACTTTCACAGCCTCTAGAGCAGCAAGAAAATAATCTGCTATTTGAGCTATCTGGGCCATGGCAATCTTCATGGCAGTCCTACAGACTAGCATAACCATCAGTGCTGGGATAATCCCACAGTTAATGCCTGCAGCTTGAGTAGCCAGCATGGCTCATGGCTCAAGAGTCTCCCAGAGCCAAATTCAGGAAGCGTGTTTGAATTTTGGTTCCTACACAGAGCCCCGGAGATCAACAAAGACCCTCTGTTGACTGTAGCCATATTGGTTCCTACCATGTGCATGGGCCTAAGGGAAGAACTTCATGAAGCTAATGCCTCGAGAACCAAGCTGCTCCCAGGGACAATGAAAACTCAAGAAGACCAGAGTGCCCTAAGTAGGGGCCAGCATGCACCACAGGGAGCCTCCCCCCAGGGACTTGCTCTGAGCTGCAGACCATGCCTGAAGGATGTCCGGAGCTTCACGGGGAATGGTGCACCAGCAAAACTGCACCTGAGGTGAGGTTAAAACCACAGAATCAACTGTCTTGTCGTGAGTACCCATCAGTCCAACACTAGACGTACACAGTCATCCTGACCAAGGTGGCAGTGTGTCCACAGAGAGCTCCAGCTGACAAGCTGTCCGGGAATGCCCAGCACCTGAGGGGTGAGGGCTTCCAGGACAGTCTGTGCACTGTGGACACAGAACTGATGATAACACAGGGGTCCTTGTAAGATGCAGATGGTGGGCTGACCTCCATGCAGAGTCTGTGGCCAAATCTTTAGGAAATTTTCAAGCCAATGGCTAAAGCCCAGCTATTGTTGAAAACTAAACTATAATGATAACCTTCTGATGACATTAAAGCAAAAGGAAAAACACTTGACGCTCATCCCTTCCTAATGATTCTGAAAACTTAACGAATAAACGCAAAGAGAAATTTCTGAAGATGATCCATTTGTTTGCTCTGTAAAGGACAGCGCGGTGGGAGGACGTGCCTGCCTGTTCAAGGACATTGAGACATGCGGAAGTCTTATTCCAAGGCCAGACAAGGAAGATGACAGAGGTGCCTATGAAACAATAATCCTTGGCCACAAGAGTCAATTCCCTGGGTGACGTCAGTCCCACAGTTGCTGGGCAGGCATCTTTTTTCTTTCTTTCTTTCTTTCTTTTTTTAAGATTTACTTATTTTTATTGGAAAGGCAGATCAGATTTACAGAGAGAAGGAGACACAGAGAAAAATGTCTTGCATCCACTGGTTCACTCCTCAAATGGCTGCAACGGCTGATGTTGAGTCGATCCAAAGCCAGGAGCTTCTTGCAAGACTCCCACTTAGGTGCAGAGTCCCAAGGCTTTGGACTATCTGTTTTTTTCCCAGGCCACAAGCAGGGAGCTGGATAGGAAGAGGAGCAGCTGGGACACAAACTGGTGCCTATGTGGGATCTTGGTACGTTGTAAGGGGAGGATTAGCCAGTTGAGCCATTGCACTAGCCTCCAGGCACCTTTTTTATAAATATTTTTTCATAAGGGCATGGGGGGGCCAGCATTGCAGCATAGCAGGTAAAGCTACCACCTACAGCACTGGCATCCTCTATGGCCACCGATTCATGTCGCAGCTGTTTCTTTTCCAATCTGGCTGTCTGCTAATGCACGCTGGAAAGCAGCAAAGGATGGACCAAGCCCTCAGGCCCCACGCCCTCATGGGAGATCCAAAGAAGCATTTGACTCCTGATTTTGGACTGACCTAGCTCCAGGCCTTAGGATCAGTGAGAACTGAACCAAGACAGAAGATCTCTCTCCGTTATGCCTCTATCTCTCTTCTAACTGCCTTCCATATTAAACTAAATCTTAAAAAACAATAAGGGCAAAGGGAGCTTAGTTGAAGGTTGTGGTTCTCTTGAGTCATTTGTGATGATTCTGGTTTTCAGGTACGTATGCATGAGCTTGTTCTTTCCTAGCCTCCCTGCTTTATTATCACTCTGTTGTTGTTGTTCGAGTTTGGCAAAAACGACTCCACATAGGACTCCGATAACTTTGACTTCACTTGATACATTTTTCTTACCTCTGCTCTTGAGACAATTGGTTATTGGAACTGTGTGGTGGGACAGCTATGGAGAATGTCATGGTCCATCTCTCCCCAGCTCTATGCTCACATCAGCCCTTGAGGGAATGTTTGCAAGTGAAGCCAGACTTCCCTGCCCCAGCCTTGTGAGCCAGTTGTTAGCCATTCACCAGTACAGCACTGGACATGTGCCCCAGGAACATCAGGGGTGGTGCTTCCCACCAGCGCAGCCAGAGATTAAAAGGCAACACAGCAGCTTTTCTGCCACCCTTTGGTTGGCAGGTAGAGTCGGTCACACCTGCCAGACACATTTACCATTGCTTCAACAAGGACTAGAGTTTCATGTCTTCATCAGCCTAACTTAACTGGTCCATCAGCTCAACTTGAAGGGGGAACGTGGGAGGGGCCAAGAGGGAGACCACAAGCAGAACAGGAATCAACCAGAAAATATTCCAACCCGACAGACCAGCATGGGCCCCAGTAAAATTTCAGAAATGAGCAATTCCTTTCCAGATGGAAATGTCCTGTTTCCCAGGAGCAGCTTCCTCTCCAGAAAGAGCGAACCCTGCCCCCTCCCCTGTGGTTCCATCTCCCCATATATTACATGAGGCAGATTCTGAGCCAAAGATGTTGTCATTTCCACTCAGTGTTTTTCAGAGCCATTTCATCTCCCATTAACGTCTAGCATGCCTCGAACCAAACACCCCGACTGTCTCCTGGATTTTTATTTAATACTTCAGCCCTCTGATAATTCAATTGCACCATCTCTCATTTCATGGCCAATTTAACACGGCCCTAAAAAGAGCAAAACTCTAACCGCTTTCCTCCTTGCATGTCCCGCCAGATGTTCGGTGACACCAAGCAGCGTGTCCCATGCTTAGAGGCCAATATTTCTGGGAGCAGAAGTCGATCCTTGGGATTTCTGTGTGTGTGCCCAGTTCTTAGTTGGCTATTTTTGAGATTTATTTATTATTTATCTGAAAGGCAGGGTGACACAGAGAAAGGTTCATCCAATACACACACACACACAATCTGAATTCACTCCCTGAATGCACTCTGTACACACAACAATCAGGTCTGGGCCAGGCTGTTGCCAGGAACCTTAAACTCCATCCAGGTCTCCCATGTGGGTTGGCAGGGACTCAAGCACTTGGTTCATCTCTCCCTGCTTTCCCAGGTGCATTGGCAGGGGGCAGGAACAGAAGCAGAGCAGCTGGGACTCAAGCCAGGGCCCATATGGGGTATCCTTCAGTGTTACAGGTGGCAGCTTAACTTGCTGTGACATACGGCCAGCCAGTCCCTCTTGGTTGATTCTGAAGACAGTGGCAATTTGTATTTTCTTCCAAAGCTGCTAGCAGTTTTTAAATTGCAAGCTTTTTTGTTAAAAAAAAATAATAATAATAAGCATTTCTGAAACTAAA